GAGAAAAATGAAAAAAGTAACTTTTACTATATTTTCAAAGTAAAACCGGAACTGTTCTCAGTTTATGCGAATTTCTGACAATTTTTACTCCAGAAATAGTAAAATTTACTCCTGAAATAGTAAACATTATTTCGGAAATAGTAAATTTTACTATTTCTGGAGTAAAAATTGCCAGAAATGCGCAGAAACTGCGGACAGTACTGGTTTTTATTTTTAAAGTGTAGTAAAAAGTTACTTTATTATTCGTTTTTCCATTTTTCTCTGTGTCAGAAAAAAAGGTTTGAATTGACAACAAAACATTTTGGTTAATGTATATGCGTGCAACCAACATTTTTTATTGTCGTAGCAACAAAATTTTGGTTGTTCAAACCAAACCTTAGTTGGCGTAACCAAATTTTCGTTGGGACAACAAAATTCTTTTATTTTTCTTATTTTCCTGGAACAACCAAAATTTTGTTCTGTCAAATAAAGTTTCATTGGGACAACTAAAATTTTGTTGACCATATTCTCCACGATTTGAAAATACTTTTACATAATTTAAAAATACTTTTATAAAGTTTTTGATACTTATTTTGTTTTCACGGTAGATTCTCTAGATTACTAAATTTTCAACTAATAAAATTTTTATTTAAACAGAATTTCTATATGTATAATAATTTATTATTCATTTTAAAAGAACTTTTTATTTGAACGAATTTTCATTTGTCACAATTTATATATTTAATAACAAAAAACATTTTGGTACGATTTTTAAAATTAACTAATCAGAATTTTAAAAGAAAAAATTGTGATTGATTAATATTAAAATTCGGCCATTTTGCACAAAAATTCTACGTTTCAAAAATTGTAGCAAACGGGAAAATAAAAATTCCAAAAAATAGCGAATGAAAATTCTGTCATTTAAAAGTTCGGCTCAGTGGAAATTCAGTTAAATACAGATTCATTTTAATAAAAAATCTACTTATTTAAAAATTTGTTTATATATAAAATGTAAATCTTGCATAAAAGGAATGCAGTTAAATAAGAATTCTGTTAAAGAAAAATTTTGCCAAATTAATATACTTCGTTATGAAAATTTGATTCTCATTGTATAGAAAATAAAAATATTTTTATTATGATTCGTACTGGAATTTAGTTTTAATTAACATACATAATGAAAATTTTAATCGTCTAGGTTTTTTCACGGCTGTTTGAATGAAGGTTAAAATATTTTAAAATCATTTTTATATATTCTGTAATAGGAAAAAGGTCAATAATTGAGAAAGACTCGGGTCAATTCTGCTATATAAGTATATACATATAATCCTTTTTTATAAGATGAATCTATAGTTTTACTTATGTTTCTTATCTGATATATATATTCTCTTTTGAACAATCTCCAAACATGAATTTCAATAGAGATTCACTCATTCAAAATTTAATTATTTAAACACAGATAGCATGCTTGAAAAATTGTCAGAATTATATAAAATATTCATGAAATAATATCAAGCAAATATATTCATAAAACTGGCACATATTAGTCATTGTTGATGGTGAATTTCTTTGTAACGTATCTACATACCGCAGATAAATAAATTTTCTAGGAAATTTTTTTTGTTTATTTGATAAGAAATATTGTCGAGTTAATTAATTTACATTCTATGTTCAAATTTTTTTTTTTTTTTTGCAATTTATCAATGAAGATAATATTCCAGAGATTATGAAAAAAATTAAATATATTCCTTTTATTAATTTAAATTATTTATCTATTTTATTTATCTCCAGTTATTAGACGATCTTTGATTAACAATTAATAACTATGTTTATCACAGAAAAAACCTGAATTCAAATTGAGTATAGATTCTATACTCAATTTGATTCGCAACAAAAATGAAACTGGTTGTTTCATTTCGAGTTCTAAGGTAAAAGTATCAAAATGAAACAGGCAAGTTTCATTTTGAGAAAAAGAAAAATGGAAAAATATTGTGAAATATCGAATAATTTTGCACAAAAACATGAAATATAATAATTACAAAGAAGTAAATAACACGCTAGACTTAATATATTTGATTAAAAATTGCTTGTAATCGCGTAATAAAATAATAAAGGAAATATGTTTTTAGGTTAGAAAAATGAAAACATGTGTTTTGACAACAGGAACGGTACTGCCAACTTAAATAATAGCGGTAAATTTAAAAACTTATGAAATTAATTATTATCTACGTAAATAATAATAAATAATTTTTATTTAAAAACTTCTAAATATTCGTACTGGTCAAAATAATCTTTCTGGTGTTGTTGAAATATTAGAAACAATAATTGAAATACAAAATTACTCTGCTTATGATGCCAACTTAGAAATCTCAAATTCCAGCCAATATCATTTTGAATAACATGAAGTTTGTCCCATACTCATTTCGATACCCAAAAGAAAATGAGTTGCAACAAAAATGAGTCCAAGTTTTTTCTGTGATACTAATTCGATATAATTTTCATCAATTCAGACGTAATATATATATATATATATGTAAAACAAAAAAAAAAGAAGAATATGGAATGCCTTGATATAAAGGGTTTTACGCGATACAAAAAACCGGTTTAGGTATATATATATGCATAAAACAGATAAGAACTAATAGTGAAAAAAAATGTTTGTATTTATTTCTAGTGGGAGAAAATTCTTATGGAAATCGTTAGTGATATTAAAAGTACAAATATCATAGCTCATCCCAGTGTAAAATGTAGTGTATTTATGTTGATAGGAAACCGGTAGCAATGTCGACACGCGCTGATAAATTTGATCGCATTTTCTCTTTAACGCCAGGTCGAATGTAGACCTGGTATGTACAATAAAGGCAGGAAACTAGCATCGCAGATCTCCTTCTTGCATTGGACCAAAAGGTGCAATCACGTGCCTGATAAAACAAGACTCTCACTACTGCCGCGTCTTGCGCAGGAGGCAATAAACCTTTTTCCACTTGGAACGATTGAAGTTTCTTTTCTTTTCTAACATACACCTTGCCGATAATCTCAGCTTCTTTCCACTTTTCTTATCTCTATAAACCCTTTTCTCTCTCTCTCCTCTCTTATCTTTTTTTTCTCTCTCTTTCTCTTCTCTTTTTTTTTCGTTTTTCGTCCCAATAAAACCGAACGGATCGTTCTGGCATTCTACAGTAAATAAAATTTACACAATATACTTTTTTCCTTTCGTCTAAATTTAGTATATATATTCTATCAATCACGTATATATACCTTTCTCTTAATCTTTTAAACTTCCGTTTAACATGTTTTTTTTTTCTTTGTGAATTTGGTATTGTTCTTGGTAAATTAACGGTAGCTGACATTGAATAAATACCGCGAGCGATGGAGGATATATATTTTTGTTGAAGAAGAACGCCTTGGCAATGTGTTTTTTTGTCGATTGCAATTCTGGAAGGTGTGTAAAACGTTTATAGCGAATTGCAATGACTTTACCTTGAAGACAAAAACAAGTGCTGAGATGAAATTCACTGTTTATATAACTATATAGGGAATTTGGAACGTGTTCTTGTTATATATCTCTTTTCCTGGACGCCTCGAGAGGAAATTATCACTAATTTTTTTTCCAATTTTATAAATTCTTAACAATACTAATTTGAACTTAATTTTACATACTAAAAAAAAAAAAGTAAATTTTTTTACATCGAGAGAAATCTTTTATTCGCATTTATTTATTGAGACAAATAAAATTTATATATCAAGTAAAAATATATTTGTCTCAGCAGAGCCTAATATCTTTTTATTTGTTTCAAATAAATAAAATTTTACCTATATAACGTAAATAAAATTTTTCATTAAACTAAATAAAATTTGTTTGAATTAGTCAAATTTTGATTAAATCATCCAAAAGTATTTATAGCTTAAATTCTTTAGTTCGAAAAATTTATTAAAATAAAGCAAACATTTATTTAGATCAAATGAATATTTTTTTGAATCAAACAAATTTAGAATGAAATATAACAAAAAAAATTGTGTTAATACTAAAAAAAATGGTATATTTGGTTCAAATAAAACTTTTGTCTGATTGTGTAAATGTACAAATTCGGTTAAATGAAAAATTGATTTAAAAATATTTGTAATTTCATTAAATAAAACTCATTTTATATATGTATATTAAAATTATAATCTGTGGAGATTAATTAAGATCTTAGCAATAATTTCTTTCGATTTTTATGCCATAGAAGCCAAACGTGTTTTTCATATATGGGCGACCTCCCCCCCCCTTATTTCCTCTTTCTCACTTTGGCCATTGTCAACAACATTTTATTCTTCGTTCCCTTCGGAAGTACTTTTAAGACTTCACCATCATTATCGTTTAGTACACGAAGAATAACGGTCTCCATCTGAGAAGAGAGTGAGAGAGTATATATACAATAAGTTGAAAAAAAAACTTTCCTTCAGGACTTTTCCTCTGGGATATGGTCGCGAGGTACGACAAGGGAGGACTTCATAAGAGTATAAATTTTCCGGATTACTCTGCAGACGCTACCGGAGCTTTTAAATAAATACGAGGTAGTATTTCGTTTCTTCTCAGGGTCAAAGAGCTACACAAACGTAAAGAGAGAAAGAGAGAAAGATAGAGAGAGAGAGAGAAAATTTATCCCGACTGAAACTCGCCATCGTCGCGAGGTCGCTTATAAGTTTCAGGATTCATTCTGTCCCTTGCAGACCTTTCACGTTTCCGTATATTTTTAAAACCTTTGAGAGTCTCCTTCTTTCGTTTCCGTGTATTTTCTATATAAATTGCACGCGAAAAAATCGTCGCGAAATATTTAGAATTGTCGCGAATCATTTGTCATAAATTCAATGGAAGAAACTTTTCAATAAAAATATTTTTCGATTTTTTTTTTTTTTAACTATTGAATCAGTCTGGAACAATCAAGTGCAATTTGAATAAAATAAATTTAAATAATTTATTATTAATAAAAAATAAATTTAGTAATATTATTTTTAATCTCTATAATTTTTTTTTGTTTCAGGTATAAGATGAAAGTATATTTTTCGAGTTGATCAACTGTATCTATAAGTAAGATTACTCTTTCAATAATAATTAATATATCACATGGAACATGAAAATATTAGGTGTGTTCACCCAGAGAAATGATATATTTTTTTTACAGTCTAATAAATATTTCTTTGATTCAAATAAATTTTTATTTGATTTAAATAAAAAAATTTATTTATACCAAATAAATAGGCTAGTAGGCTGTGAGACAAATATACGTTTATTTAACTCAAATATATGTGACGCGATTTGAAGAAAGGGACCTTAGAATCAAATTAATTATAGGTTATGTTGACGACTGATTTACTTGGACTAAAAGTTTATTTTTGTTTTTGTAAAACTGAAATTAGTTTTTATTGAATATTTTGGATGTAATGGAGACCTAAATGTCATTAGTTTGTATTTCGAGTTGAACGTCTTTGTATATTTCCACTTAAAAATTTTAAAACATAACCTATAAATTTTGGTTCTAAGATCCCTTTCTTTGGATCGCGTCACATATTATATTTTGTTCAAATAAAACATTTCTCTGGGTGTTCATATTCGAGGAAATAGAAATTTTTTTTAAAAAATATATACTTAGAGAAATTTTTTATTGAAACCAAATAACATATAACACAGCGTCCGACACGATTTTTGACACACAAAAAAAGCCAACATTTTCGAAAACTGGGACCCAAAAAAAATACCCATGTCTGTCCGTTTTGCTAGATCAAGTAGTTTGTGGTTTTTAGGGGTGAAAACAACCCCTAAATAAAAAGTGAAAAGACATTTTTTAAAAATTATTAATATTTTATAAAACTTGGTATCCGGGAGTTTTCAGGGTCGCTGATTATTAATCTGATGTCAGATTTTCAAAATTTAAAATGGCGGATCCAATATGTCGATCAAATTTTTAAAAAGTTATTAATTTTTTATTAAACTCTAAGACAAATATATTTTTATTTGATTCAAATAAATTTTATATGTTTCAAAATAAATGTAAATAAAATATTATCTCTTCACTGAGAAAAAAGGTTTGAGCTGACAACCAAATATTTCATTTAATATATGTGCAACTAAAATTTTTTGGTTGACACAACTAAACTTTAGTTGACATCAACCAAAGTTTGGTTGAGACTACCAAATTCTTTTTCATTTTCTTATTTAGTCGTCTGAAACAAACTTTGGTTGTTGTCAACTAAAGTTTAGTTGTGACAACCAAAAAATTTTAGTTGCACATATATTGAATGAAATATTTGGTTGTCAGCTCAAACCTTTTTTCTCAGTGTTTGTATACATATTATATACTCAAAAGTTTTGATTTATTTTATAAATTTGATTAAAAAAAAAATGCTTGTCGCATGTTTCAATTATACAATCGTTAAATTCTTTTTTTGAAATAATTTTTTTTTTTTTACTGGGGTTGGGGGGGAGGGATGTTTTTGTCAAATGGTGACAAATACAATTTTTTATTCTTATAATAGGTGTGCGCGACTGCAAAATTTGTACGACGTTTGAAAGCTTTCAGAAAAGAGATATCTCACAAACCATTTGTTGGCTGTCTTGTAGGTCATTTCATGCCGCATGTCTTATCACTCATATTTTCAGACATCGACCTTCGTCTCTGTCAAGATATGACAGTGCGTCGTGCAAAGTTCCACGCGGTGGAAATATATAGAACGAAAAGGGAAATTCGATCTATAATATATGTATAGTAAAAATCATATCACGTACTGAATTATCATTCTCTTTTCTCTCGCGCCTATTTTAATTTTATCTTCACTTTCACGAAATTCCTAAGAAATCTTTATTTTTTTCTCTCAATATTCTGATTCAAAACGTGAGCGAATCTTATCTTGAATTTCTCTTTAGAATACCAAAAGATCAACTACTCGTTATACAATCTCAAAGAAAGAATTAATTTTTTGAAATTAAAATTTCATTTTTACTCTATGATTATTTAGTTATTACTAATCACGGAAATTAGGGAACAGTTTGGGAAAATTGTTTTTCTTAAATACCTGCATGGAAAATGCAATTTTGGGGGCCTGGCGGCAGAAGTCCAAAATAGCCTATTCCTCGATCATGGGGAAAATGCTCATTTCTCTCACTACTGGGAGAAATAGGTGAAACAAAGTGACATATGCTATAGAAATCAACGCCAACTGCAGAGAAATGTTAAATCTAAACTAGCGCCATCTAGCAGATATCGGTGCAACTAACGAAGTCCGCGTTGATATCGCAGTGATAAATCGATGTATCGTTTCATTTCGTAACTAACTTCATGTTGACACATAACCTAAGAGTGACGTTTCTTCTACATTGTGTACTTATGAAATTTTTATATCTTTTGAGTTGGTTTTTTTTATAGTAAGGGGGCTTCGCCCCCCAAACCCCCCACTTGGGCACCGCCCCTGGGCCCCGTCGGGGGGTTAACTAATTTCATGTCTTGTTTTTGACGCAAGGTTATAGACAATAGTGTATTATTAAATAGCGAATTTACTATTTTGCTTCCTCGTGGAGAAAGCTATGTAGTCCTTTCGTTTATAAACTTTTTAAAAATGGTGAAAACAAATTTTCCTCTATATAGAAACATGTTATATGAGATCCTGATCAATTTTCCGGATGTATGTATGTGTGTGTGTGTGTGTGTGTGTGTATGTATGTGTGTGTGGATCGTTTTTGTGAACACGATATCTTTAACAGGTTTTAATGGATTTGGATAAAATTTGGTAGGCTTATTTAACACATTAATCTCTCAAAAATGACGAGAGGATTTTTAAAAATACCCCAAAAAAAAATTTTATCGTCTTTTTTCCAAAAAATTTTTTTCAATTGAATAAATTTTTAAATCGAAAAATTTAAGGTAATATATAATATAATCGTCTTCTTTATGTCAAGATGAATCGATTAATATATATAAAGTATAGATTTGATTGAAATTTAAAGAATTAAAGAAAGTTAAAAAATCAAAAATTCTCATTTTAGCTAAAAAATGATGTGTTTATTTAAATTCATGTTTATATATGAAATAATTTTATTCCCTGCATTGAAACGAATTGGTTGGTATATATAAAGTATAGATTTGATTTAAAATTTGAGAATTAATAAAAATTGAAAAATCGAAAATTCATATTTTAGCTAAAAAATTTTGTGTTTTTTTTAAATACAAGTTGATGAATAAAATAATTGTATTCCTTGCATTAAAACGAATCGATTCGTATATATAAAGTTTATGTTACACTCAAAATTAATTAAAATTTTCTTTATTTTTCAAAAAATTTAATTAATTTAAAACATTTTTAACTCGAAATTTTTTAAATCAATCAATTGAATTGGACAAATTCATTGCTTCCTTCACGAGGAAGCGAATTTTTTGCTTCACACAATGAGGAAGCATAATGTTTATGAAATAAACATAAAGGACCCCCTACTTGTTTACTATTACTGGACTTATTATTTTCATTTAGAGAAGAAAAAATAACAGATTTTCATCTTTTCTATATAAATAATTCAATTGACTCAAGTTTGAATTTACCAACATTTTTCATCGATTTAGTAATTATTATTTATATAGGAAAAATTTTAATGAATCTAAATTTAAATTAGTTAAAGCATTTGTTGATTAAAATTGTAATCGATCTAAATTTATAATTTAAATTAATTAAACCATCAATTCAGTCAATCCAAAATTTAATATATCCAAATTTTAATTTGTTCCAATTTTAATTAATCTAAATTTCACTTCAAATAAATGTTATTTGATTCAAAATTTAATTGAATTAAATTTCAAATATAATTCCTGAAATTTAATAAAAAATTTTAATGTCAAGGAAACTGAAAAATTTATTCTTTTCCCTGGCGAAAGTTTCAGATTTAATTAAAATCAGTTTTAATAAATATTATTCCGAATCAATTTGTTTTATTCCGAAACTAAATTGTAATCCTTTTGAATCCTGAAATTTCATTCCAAATCAATTCTATTGGCTTAGAAACAGATTGATTCGGATTTATTTGAAATGAAATTTCATAATTTAAAAGAATTCAAATTTATGCGGAACGAATATTACAGTATTCAAAAGTATTCAAATTAAGTTTTAGAATGAAACGTATATTCATTTTAAAGTAATTAAACATAATTTTAATTCGTTTTAAAATAAATTTGTAAACTTTTTTTATTCATAACAAAATTTTCATAATAATTAGAGTAGAAATTAAAAATTTAAATTCATTATTTTGTATATTTGGGTGATGTGACGTTATAATGGTATAATTAGTAAAATGGCAAAGTGTCCTTGACAGAGAGAGTATGTAAATTCAAGGTGAGGCTATATAATTTTGGTAACTATAACATTTTGGCGATTGCTCTCTCACGTTAGTGAGTTGAGTTTTCGAGTCCTCTTAACTGTGGGTGGTTTGTGACTTTGAGATGGGGATTCTTTATATATCTAACTAGATATTTTATATGTCTTGGAGAATATATATTCTTCGTGGTGTATATGTGTTGTACAAGTAGTAGTGCTTGTAGGTGTGTGGGCCACACTACATGTTTCTGCTCTCAACAGTAGCGTTTCGGAATAATTTAATTAGCAAGTGGTATGAAGTGAAGTGCCAGGTCTTGTCCCATGGGTTTAATAGTGAGCCTTCTGACTGTGTCTAACTTGCCTGCCCTAGGGAAACGATGGGTCGAGCTTGTAACTATTTACTTCATGCGCATCAACAAATTATATATATATATATGCTATTTATCTCCTCAATTCTGTTCATCATCAGCACACATAACATTATTCGGTTTTTTAGAACCAAATTTAGAAAAAATTTTAGTAGATTTACAAAATTAGCAAAAAGAAAGCTTCAATAATAAACAATTGTATAAAAATATTTTGTGACCTTTGGTTGCAGTCTCTTTAACTTTTTTTTAACGATGTCCCTCGTGTCGCATTTATTCATAGATAGTAAATTCGAGAAAAGTCCTCGCTGGATGAATCATGAAAGGTAAAAGTTTTAATTAAAAAGTAAGCGTTGAGCTGGCTGAGGCCTCTGGCAATTTGTAGAAGGTTCACAGTGTATATGTGCACAAAAAAGTTCTTTAGGGCTGTTTTGAAACTGAA